GTGTGTGAGTAATACCCCAATTGTGGTTAACGTATAGCATCGCTGTGTGTGAGTAATACCCCAATTGTGGTTAATGTATAGCATCGCTGTGTGTGAGTAATACCCCAATTGTGGTTAACGTATAGCATCACAATATGATCCTTATGTTGTCACAAGCTTCATATTTGATAAACAACTTAGCATAGGTACAATATCTCAAATACTTTAGATAACCTGTCGTATAGTTGTTTAAAATATACACGATAGTATGTATTTTAACAAACAAATCTTTCTTGCAATAAACAAATATAACACAGTTTAACAATCAAATATACATTTTACAGATTCATAATGTTATCTCTGATAAAATTATTCAAGAACGTCAAGCGTTATATTACATGACCATTCATCTAAATTACTGTTAGCCACCCCCTAGCTGCGTCCGATTAGAACAAAATTATACAGTCTACTATATACCACCGTATATCATTGGCCCTGGACATTGTATAATTTAATTAAAATCGGACGCCGCTAGAGGGTGGCTAACAGTAATCTAAATAATAATTTTATTTGATTAAAATAATTGGTTTTTGTCATTTATAATAATAGTTATAGAAACCCAGGGTGATACGATAATGTATGAAGAACTGAATAAATTAATTAAAGTACAATCAGAATATGTAGTCGAATATAAACAATGTTGGGCAGAATTGGAAGTGAAATATATGGACATGTCTCTTAAACTTTATATTCTAACTGAATTATGCGGACAAAATTTTCAGTCATTTCTCGATCTTAAAGGCCCGGCGTTTGGCCGCCGAACAGCCGAAGAGACCATGAATTTGTCGGAGTTTTTCATTTCATGTCAGATATTTAAAGAGCTGTTGGAATGCATACAATATTTGCATGATTTGAGTCCAGCAATCATTCATCGGGACCTCAAACCCGAGAATGTGTTGATATCACTTAATACACAAAGCGATCGGTTTTTAAAACTATGTGACTTTGGTTTAGCGGTATTACACGAGGGGTCGGATAGTATTCGACATACTGGATGTGTGGGCACAAGTATTTATATGGCAACTGAAGTGCGGCTAAACAAAGAATACTCGACAAAAGTGGATGTCTATAGTCTGGCAGTCATTGCTTCCCAACTCTTTGGTTTAAATGCTTTCGAGTAATGTTTAAATTTTTTATTTAATAGACTTTATAATTTTAATTTTATTTTACAATTTATAGAACAAATAATTTGGAAATCTATAAGAGTTATGACTTTTACGACAAAATCGTAAATCTAGATAAAATATTAGCTTCAATGGCGACACGAATACCTGATAATAGACCCAATTGTCAACAAATATTACAAAAGTATAACCACTGGTCTATTCAAGCAATGGATGTCACTAATGATCCTAACTTTAAAACAATTATAAATAATGTTAAACAAAATGATTGCTATTTTATTTTGGAGTATTTCAGAAAAACAATTGCCAAAAATCTCATGACACAACAAAAAGTAATCGATAACATTGAAATCAATAGTATAAAATTATTTCATGTTTTCGATGACCTCAATGGTTATAATATACTGCTTGTGGCAAATAATGATATGGTTTACGGCATGGGATCTAATAAAGAGGGATCACTCGGTTTGGGACACAATATGGCTGTAAATACACCACAACTTATACCAGAATTATGTTTTCAAGATATTAAACAATTTATTAATGGCTATAATTATGTTATGTCGTTGAATGAGGATAATTGTGTTTACCTTTGGGGCGATACTCTATATTATCAATTTAGTCGATCAAAAGGAAATAAATATTTTAAACCCCAAATAATGGAATTACCAAAACATCTTGATATTATTGATATTTGTTGCGCATCACATCATGCATTGATATTGACCAGTGATAATAAAGTATACGGTTGGGGCGATAATACATATGGAGAGTTAGCATGTAATAAAAGTAGAAAAACTTTAATAGATACTCCGATTAAAATACAATTTGTTTACAATGCGTTGGCATTTAAAATACGAAACATTTCCTGTGATAGACAGTCATCGTTTGCGGTCACAACCGATGGCCGAGTGTTTAGTTGGGGTCAAAATCAGTATAATTTAGGACACAATACAAGTGATAATGTATTCAAACCACAAATGATTGACAATTTGTATAACATTCAAACGGTGTGTCCGGCGGGCACTCAAACATATTTCATCACAAACGATGGATGTGTTTATTTTTGTGGGAAAAGTGTAAACCTTAATAATTTTCGTTCATGTGAAAAATCAATCACACGATTTAATGGTAATTACGAAATTAATCTAGATCGTATATTTATCCTTAATTCAAATCAAAAGTATATGCTCTACCAAATCGGTATATATCGTAAAATAATCTATACAATTGATAGCAGTAATAATTTGTATAAAACACATTATACAAACATATTTGATTATTTTGTCAATGAAGTGCAAATGACTTATAAATCAATACATTTATGCGATTATAAAGACTATAATTACAACACTTTCGAGGAATTTAGCCACAAATGTGGAAAATATTTAAATACGTTATTCTTAAAAATTAAACAATATGATGGTATGTTTATAATTAAACAATAATTTAGAGTTATAAAATCAATTTTCTCATTTAAATTCACACAGAAATTAATTCAAGCCCATATAAAGCTCTTTACCAAGAGTTGTCTGAATTGGGTTCGGGATGTTTTGGCACAGTTTATAAAGTCAGACGTAAATATGTCGAAACGAAATATGCGATGAAAATTATTAATTATGGTAAGTTTTATTGTTAGTAATATTAACATTACTTGTTATAATATTACTTGTTAATTTATATTAAAATAATTTAATAATAGTTTTATCAAAATTGTTCTAATTACTTTTGTTTGGTAGAAATTACATCAATTGTACTCGAGGTTTTTAGCAATTTAATGAATATTTACAACAACAAACTGGTCAAATACATAAATATATTTAGGGAAGAGAATCGTTATTATATTCATATGGAGTTATGTTCCGGAAATTTGCAGTCAGTCCTATCATTAAAAGGCCCGGCGTTTGGCCGCCAATCGGCCGAAGAGGCCATGAATTTGTCGGAGTTTTTCATTTCGTGCGAAATATTCGCAGAGCTGTTGGAATGCATACAATGTTTGCATGATTTGAGTCCAGCAGTCATTCATCGGGACCTCAAACCCGAGAATGTGTTGATCGCCGCAAATGACGGCAAATGGAGAATAAAACTCTGTGATTATGGATTGACCGAAATTTTTCCAAATCTATCTTTTGATAGAGATATCGAGTATTTATCGCCCGAAGAAACTAATGGACAAACTGTTGATTACAAGACAGATGTTTACAGTGCGGCCAAAATCGCACAAAATATATTTGATATGCAATTAATCAGTCAATTGTAAGTATATTTTAAAATTATATAAAAATTTTTAAAAGTTTTAGTTATATTTTTTAGATCTGAATTGTATTCTTCAGACAAAACTCTATCCAAAAGTGTGAGACTTAATGTTTTTCACAACTAAAGATACGTTAGCAACCTTGGCAAGCTATCTGGGCTAACAGCTGTTCATAATGTTCTCTATAACCACTGGTCTATCGATGCAATGCATGTCACTAATGATCCCAACTATAAGACTGTAGCAAATAATTTAAATCAAAGTAATCGGCATTTAATTGAATATTTTAACCAAAAAATTGCTAAAAATTTAAAGAGGAAACAAAATGTAAGTGAAAATGTTAATATCAATACAATTAAGTTATTTCACATTTTCGATGACATTAATGGCTATAATATATTGTATGAGACAAACGATGATATGGTTTACGGCATGGGATCTAATTATTACGGATCACTCGGTTTGGGACACAATAGGGCTGTCAATACACCACTAGTTATACCAGAATTATATCTACAAAATATACAACAATTTATTTGTGGCAATACTTTTGTTCTATCAATTTCTAACAATAACTTCATATATGGCTGGGGTTGTAATGATTGGTCACAATTAGCCCAATCATCAAATAATAGATTTCATAAGCCCTCCATTATCTCATTGCCTAATAATCGTAAAATTATTAAAATAAGTTGTGGTTATAATCACCCACTAGTGCTGACCAGTGATGGCTGTGTCTACGGATGGGGCGGTAATATGTTTGGACAGTTGGGATGCGGTAAAGAAATCACCCGTGATATCCATAGATTAATTAAATTGCAATTTATTTGCGACAATATTGAGTATACAATTCACAAAATATTCTGTCAATTGTTTGCATCGTTTGCCGTCACAACTGATGGCCTGGTATTCAGTTGGGGTCGAAATGAAAGTAATTTAGGACACAATTCATGCGATGATATATCTAAACCACAAATGATTGACAATCTGTTTAACATTCAAACTGTGTGTCCGGCGGGCAGTCAAACATATTTCCTCACAAACGATGGATTTGTGTATTTTTGTGGCCATTATTTTAATTCAAATTCTGAGCTTTCAATTGATAGAAAAATTAATATATTATTTGGCGAAATCATTAATTCAATGAAACAAATAAATGCCATGTATTCATCACAACATAAGGCCTCACTAGTGATGGGTATCTCTAATAATGATATGATTTATCGTATTTATCACAAAAACAATTTATTGAAGACTAATTACACAAATATTTTTGATTTCTTTTCATCTGAAATGCAAATGACTTATAAAACAATACATTTATGCGATTATAAAGTCTATTATTACGCGACTTCTGAAGGGTTTAAGAAAAAATGCGATCAATTTTTGAACCAAATATTTGATAAAATAAAACAATTAAATAAGGATTTGAATTGTGATAGCAATGAGAGGGAAGAAAACAGTGGCCGTTCACTAAAAGGCCAATCGCCAGAAAACACTTTAAGATAGACAGTAAAAGTATTGAAAAGCATATGGAGAGGCTATTTAATCCCAAAAATTCTCTCCAAAAGCAAAGCGTTTTAAAATATCAATACTTTATAAATTTTTTAAACTTTTATTATAAATTTTATGAAAAGTTAATTTTAAAAACATTTTTATTATTCAAGAAATATATTGATTTAATTGTTATTTTATAATCAAAAGCAATGATAGAAAAGTCAACGAAAATCTGGAAATTAAGATTAGAGGGAATGTTAAGTATGACTCATACTGTATGAGTGAATAGTCTGTAGTTCTTAGACAATAGGGTTTATCCATGAGTTACACTACAAACCATAATTATCGATCCAGACGTTTGTTATTAGTACAGGAAAACTGCTTGAATTAGCTTATAATACTTTTCACTGTTGTATACTTTAGTTATCCGATTATTAATCGCATTTATGTATTTTTAAGAATAATGATCAAAGATCGGATTTTTAGGAGATTTAGAAAACGTCCCGAAAAAACCTTTTTTGTCTGTAACAAAATCACAAATATTAAAACACCATTCTGTAGCAAATTACAAAAGAATAAATTTGATGTGCTACACGACTCATTTCACTTTAAAACTTGGCCACAATTACGTAAAATCAAAAGTGGTCAAAAAAAGTTAATTGATTTTACAGAATCTCTATAAAAGGTACAGAAATTTATTATACATTTTTGAAGCTTATTTTAAAACGGGGTTCAATATTTTGCTATACTGTCTAGCTGTAAGCTTTAATATTTTTTCATATTTGAAAATTCGGTATTTTTGACAATGTTTGTTGCTTAATTGCTGCCATGTCTAAAGGTCAAATGGCTCGTGTAGCACATCAAATTTATTCTTTTGTAATTTACTACAGAATGGTGTTTTAATATTTGTGATTTTGCTACAGACAAAAAAGTTTTTTTCGGGACGTTTTCTAAATCACCTAAAAATCCGATCTTTGATCATTATTTAAAACAAGGATCACACAACGATGCTATACGTTAACCACAATTCGGGAAATGCATTAAAGATTTAAAATTTTCAATGCTATTGTTGGAATACTTTCACTACTGTTATTTTGAACATTTTAAATATTTTTGACAACAATTTATTTGATTAATTTGTAAGATTTGTTTAATATATGTCCATAGAATAAGTATTATCTTACAAACTTAACATAAGTACATAGACTTATCATTGCCATAGACTTA